ATGCAATCAACTCTAGCCTCTTCTCTGGACCTAAGAACTATATTTCCATGTCTACCTGATCCTTCAGACTCATCATACCCTAAACTTAATGTGCCATTAATCTCAAAGACCTGCTCTTCATCCCGTACACCCTGAGGCAGCAGCATCCATCTAGTCACTCAATTGGAAAACAAATCTTTAACTCCTTCTGCCTCGCATCATGCCAATTTGTGATTTTATCAATCTAATTCTCACTTCTGCTCTGCTTTCCAAGTGTAGGCTTCGAAGGAAGCTGTTTTGACTCTTCTGTTTACTTCCCGAATGGGGTCTCACAAGAGCCTTACTTCACAGTTACTCAAAATCAGAACCGATCTTATCATTTTTTTTGCTAATAAATCTTGGCAATGTTCTTATTTATTTTTAAAACTGCATCCAACCCCATTGTCTTATTGCTACAGAATCTTCATAATCCTACACTAGTCTACCCCTCAGTCTTATCTCTTACCTCTTCCTCGTCTCCCTTCTGCCACCATCTTCCACCCTCTCTACCCCCGTCTCCCTAGCGTAACAACGCTGTTTGCCTTCAGAATCTCTGCTTTTCTTCTTCATGTTTCCTAGGTCAGAAATATTCTGCTTGGCTTGTATCCACCTCTCAAGATGCAGCTCAAATGTTATTTCTTCATTTCCCCTGTTTTTATCAGCGTTTAAGCTCCTCAATGGCAAGGATGAACCTTTAGCCATCACTGCATTTTTGTCATCTTGCACCATGACTACCTAGTGCAATAAATGTCTGTAGAAGGAATAAAGACACGAACAAATGGTGAATGAATGAATGAATGAATGAATGATTATCTGAATGTGGCCAGACAGAATTGGTCACTCCTGGTTTATTAGTCAGAGACTGGGTTCATTTCTTTACTTTATTTCTTACCAGACTGTGTTATATTTCATTGTTAGTAAGTCCATATTTCTGGACAGAATTGTACATTTCATCAGGAAAATAAGTCTTACTTATTTCATCTTCCCAGCATCTTACACATACGGTTTCACACATGATTGTTAGATAAATGGCAATCTTAAACAAATGGGTATTTACTCCTTTCTGAAAAGAATTTTTTTAAAGCATGCTGTGTAGTGAATACTGGACTGAGCTAGGCTCTGCAGGTAGAGGATTGGATAGTGGTCGGCCTTGTAACTGCCCTCTGCCACTTACAATCTCCCGGGTCCTCAGGTACCTTTACTGTGATCTGGCAATGGTAAAACTCAAATTGCTGAAGTTCAGTGATAACTCACTGATAGTTCACCTTAAGTGTGCTTTCTTCTTTTAACTGAATTTCTGCCACAAGGGTGCCGAAATACATCCCACCAGGGCCGGCCGAAATGATCAGAACTGTGGATGTATAGTCTGTTTAGTGACAAATCATTGGAAATGTTCATTTTTTTTCCTCCCAAGAATTCTTCATAGGAGTATAAATTAGTAAATTGTTTGTAGAAATAATAATTTTTGTTTCAACCATGAGGTTTCTGTCCCAGTTATATTATGTATGGCTGTGTTGAGTATGATCATAGCAAATATTTATTAACTATTTCCCACGTACCATGCATTATTCAACTCTTAATTCTCACAAGTACTCTTACTTCACCTCCATTTGATAGATGAGGAATCGGAGACACAGAAAGGTTGTACAACCGCCCAAAGTTAACGCAGCCAGTAGGTGGCTGAGCTGGGATGCGCCTGGCTTTGGCAGTTTGGCTTCAGACCCAGTGCTTGCTGCTGCTCAGGAGGGAGGCATGAGTGAGGCCGCTCGAAGAAGCTGATGTCGCCCCTTGTCTGTCCACAGGGTGAAGAAGCTAAAGGAGACTCTGGTCGCTGTGCAGCAGCTGGATAAGAACATGAGCAGCCTGCGGACGTGGCTGGCTCTCATCGAGTCAGAGCTGGCCAAGCCGATAGTCTATGATTCCTGTGACTCGGAGGAAATACAGAGAAAGCTTAACGAGCAGCAGGTAAAACTTAAAACAATTGAAGAAAGCAAATAGGCTCTTGAATATCTGTTCTCTTGGCCAGGATAGAGGGGTGGGTGTGAGATGGTAAAATTGGGATGGAAAATCAGGAGGAAGCTAGGCAGGTTTAGTGAGAAAGGGAAGGGGGCCTTGGCTAGGCAAGTGTTGGGGGCAAATAGGTTCTATGTCACCACAGAGTTGACTCTTAAGGAGATATGCCATTGTAGGGTCAATGTTGTTAGTTTACCAAGGTCAACGTTGTTGGTCCACCAAGGTCAATGTTGTTGGTCCATCAGGAAGCCATCCTAAGATGGTAAGTTAGGCTGAGCTGTAATGATGTATCTAAAACAGTGCTGACAGTTCTGTTTATTTATTTGTGGGTCCCTAGCCCACTGCCATAGATTTAAAAAAGAGCCTTCCCCTCGCCTACATGTAGTAGTGTTCAAGGAAAGATTACAGCGCACACTTGGAGATTTTAGAGTCTAAAATTTTGTTTTGCAAGAAGAATTGCATGACCTGCAGACCACACACCGTGACCTCACCTTCATGTGTGCTGCAAAGACAGCACATCGCACCAGCATACAATACACAACTCAACAAAGCAAAAGAAGGTGGCCCTGAAAAATACAAACAGAGGGGATTTTCACCTCCCACGGCCCTTGCTTATTCTTACTAAGCATAGCAGACTCCAGTTGTCAGTACCAAACACTATAAACCCTCTAAAGAAGTATTGTCACTCCACCTTTAGATTGTCCTTGAAAATCCTATCCATACTCTGCTTATTTTTATTATATTTAGGCCACTGTAGCCAAGTCGCTTAAAAAAATGTCTATAAACTACAAACAGACCTATTTCTATAATCCTGTGAAATAGTTTATATACTTTATTTTACAAACTATTTAAACCAATGAGAATAGGTATTAAAATATATTTTTTACATTTAGGATTACTTTAATATTTAATTTATCATTTATTTTTTTTAATTGTTAGAATGATATTTTCAGTTGTAAGATTAACATACTCTGATAGACTCTCTGATATTTGAAATTCTGATATCAAACTATGGGGTCATAGTTGGGCCCCCAGTTCCCTAGATTCTCCTGGGGAACATGGTAATGATATCTACATGTGATAAAAGTTAAAATCTAATGACTGATATAATTTAGCAAATATGAGACAATCAAAATAGTATCTAGCTAAATATGGCAAATCGATTAGATGTACTTACAGCCCCATCCACTGCTAACCCTAAATAAAATGATAGTAAAGTGGAAAAAAGGGTCCAAACTCACAATGGCAAAGAGAACAGGAGACAAGATGATAGAGATGACAGACATCCAACAGAATTTTGGAAGATAGAAAGTGGATAGATGACTCGTGATGGTGTTGACAGAGGAATGATGGAGAATAATGGTGTTAACAGAGGAATGATAGAGAAAGCTCATTCATGCCACAGAGTTCAAGGAGCCTCAGGAAGTGGAGATATCAAGTCCATAGGGCTTTAAAATGGAAGATTGCTTGAAAGTCTGAATAAGGAGTGTTAGACTGCAGTTGCCCGCTAAGCCCAGCTAGTCAGGAGACTCTGCCTCATTTTCCCCAGAAGAAGACCAGAGGATTAGTCTCTGGAGCAAGCAGACCAGAGGGACTTAGGACATGAGGATACAGGACACCATCGAGGCTGGAGCCACTATATTAAAAATAGAGATTAAACGAAAGGCTCAGGACCACAGATGTGACTCCCACCCCGCTGTACCAGCTCCCACAGTGTCACTAGCCAGGTTTCTATAGCAGCCAGGATTCATACAAGAGTTTCCAATTCCAATTCAGTTATTCCTAAGAAGCGTCCCCAAAAGAATAAAGAAAATGGACAGAAAAAAATTATGAAAATAGTAATATAAAAGTAATGTTGAAAAATATCTAAAATTTAAAAATCAGGAAATAGCAACATAAAAAGATGTCCTACTCCTTTACTTTGACAACTATATTTCTATAACATGAAATGCATATAGTTATATAACAAAATTAATTAGAAATATAGAAGTAAAAACCAGAAGACAGAGTTAAAGAGATGGAAATGGTCGTTTCAGGGCACTGCTTCATTGGAGGCTTAATAGTAGTTGTTGACTTTTAAATATATTAATATATGTTTATATTGCCTTTTAATTAACTTTTAAATTAAAGTTTAAAAAAACATACACAGTAGTTAAAAGTATAGACATCCCGGGTTCAAATCTTGGCTTCACCACTTTTCAGCATGACCTGGGGCAAAGTAATAAAGTGTTTTAATTCTCAAATTCTGTATACGTAGAAAGTATAAGAATTCTTTATGTATAGAATTAGAGGACATGGCTCGTAGTGTTATTGTAAAAATTAACAAGAAAAGCATTTAACACAGCACCCAGCACAAAGAGTATACTGAGCAAATTTTATTTTAATCATACTATAATTGCTAGTTTCCTTTTATAGGAAATGTTTGACCAAGATTCTATAAAAATTATAGCATTGAGAATCCATGTTGTAAAAGACAGATATAAATAATAATCTGTCTCCAAAGGGGAAAAATTCGGACAAATATTTAAATAGATTAAATTGATCAGAAATGCATTTTCTTCAGTTTCCCTATGTGGAATTTCTACGTTTCTCTTGTCAGTCTACAGACGTAATTAGGCAGAAATGTATGTAGACTTGAGATGGCTTCGGAGGACATTTTGTCAAATTTTTCTGTGTTATAGATGAAGAAGAATAAATGCAGAGACACTAGATGACAATTCGAAACCATTACCAATGCAGGTTAAAGCTGAGACTGAAATCTTTATCTGTATTAGGGCACTTATATAAAATTATAAAACGCCTCAAACCTTGTTTCCTATATTAATTTTAACAAGAACTTTTGAGCCGAAGCACAAAGGAATTTTTCTCCGGTATGTATACTGTGGGAACTTGGTTGACCTCCTGGAGATAAACCTCACAAAATTGTGCCCCCACAACCTTAAAAAAAAGTAGAATTTTTAACTTTTGGGGTTGTCCACACTGCACCTTCAGCAATCCATCAGTTACAGCTGTGGTTTTCATACCCCAGCACTGGTTCCCACAGTGGCTCCCCCGAGTGTCTGCTCCAAGGTAGATTCAGAAGTATATGGAGGAGCGACATCACCAAGATGTCAACAGAGGTTATTTCTGACTATGTCCCCTTCACGAGAAGACCAACAAGCAACTATGCATAGACAAGACACCATTGTGAAAATCCCAGAATCCAGGTGTATGGCTGAAGCATCTCCCTGGACCACAGAGACCAAGAGGATAGAATTAGAAGAGTAGGAGGAGCGGCTGCCTCTGGCCACATCGCCCCTCCCCAGGCTGGAACAGCATCGCACCAAGAGGTCCCCTTGGGCCTACATCATCAAGAAGGGTCCGTGGGCCTAGTTTCTCGAGAGAGAAAAGAGAAGCCAAGGTGGTCATCCAGCTCCTCCAGTATTGTGGGGCATTTCCCAGGAGGCTCTTGGGTCTCATTTCGTGGGGATCACTGGGGGAATCTGTGAGGCCTGACCACTGGGGATCAGAGAAAGACAAAGAGGGGTGAGGCTTATGGCAACCAACACTCAGATCTGGGTGGAC